TGTGAGTAACCACAGAATGATGTCACAGGGGTCAGTCATATATGATCAATGAGACGTCTATACTTGCGTGGTGGTCCACCTCTGTGCATAATGAGGCTTAAGCTCCCATTGAGGCTTTAAACTGGGAAATCTGGGCCAAGTGGGGAGACAGTAGAAGTCCAGATCAAATTAAACTTACCCATATTAACTTGAATGTAAAAAGAAAACCAAACACTCCCATTCTTGCTTTTTTCACTTTTATTGGAGGTGCAACTGTCTAGTGCAAATGTAACGTCACATTTGTGATGAGCTGAGGAACATGCACAAAACACTGACATACGTCTGCTAGGCATTTTCCCTGCTTTTAAAAACCAAGAGATTCATTATCGTATTCAGTGCTCCAGTTCCACTATGAGCAACTCAAAACACTTGGCGGTACAAAAAAAGAAAGAAAAACAATAGTCATTGATAAAAAATAAACTACACATGTCCCCAAATGCTAAAACAGATTTGAGCGAGTTAGTCTGAAGTGAGGGCGGAGGAGAGTGCATGTACAGTGTGAGACCGTGAGTCACTGCAGGAGAGACAGCATCTAAGTGTGGAGGTCAATAATCCTAATCTGGTCTCAACCTGAGTAATGACACCACAGGTAGTTAATACCTGGCAAACCATATAGATATATATATACACACACACACATACATACATACATACATACATACATATACACATACACACACACACACACACACACACACACACACACCTTTTAATACAAGTAAGCAATACATGTCATAAGGTCATCTTGAGATTGTGTTTGAGGTATGGAGAGTTCTCATAATGACCCAGAAATGAGAAAAAGCAAAACAGATAACTCACAAATAAGCGTTTTTTAAAATAATTTTTAGGACACATGTAGAACAACGAATTGCATAGACAGTCTATTAGCTAGCTACATTAGCCTGCACTCAATCAAATCTAATACATCAAGGCATAGTAAGCCAAATCAAAAATATATTTAGCACTTTAAAATAACAGCATGGTGACCAAAGTGCTCCACAGATATAAAACATGAACAGCACACAAAACAAATTCAAATAGAATAGAAAGTAAGAATGAGAATACAATCGCAGACAACAACAAAATGGGTCAACTCCACTAAGAATTAAATGGCCAGAACAAACAGATACATTTTAGTGAAGATTTAAACTCTCTCAGATCTAACATTTATGTAGGGAGTTCCAGACAAAGTGTGATGTCCCCATCAACATTGCTTAGCCCTGGGAAACTCCAGCAACAAACTGTTCGCTGATCTAAGACCTCCCAAGGACCTATGCCATGGCACAAGTTCAGAGAGGTACTGTGCGGTGACTGAGCTCTTGTCTACTTCATATTTTCAAATAGAGCATGTGGTTTATGCAAAGCCCATCTCAGATGTTGATATAACTTAAGATATTCCTCAGAGGTTTGTCTCTGAGAATATCAACCACCAGAAAAAGGCATAAACAATTTTTTTTCCATTTCTGAAGCCTCCTTCATAGTTACGCAACATACTGCAATTATTAACTACAGGAAAAATCCTCTGTGGTGAAGGTACATTGTGTTGAAATATGTGAATTTCTGTTGTCAGTGAGACGTCTTGCATCATGAAGTGCACTCCACTGTGACTATACTGCACTTCAGACCTCATAGTCACACCAAATCTCTCCTCCTCTCTCTCTCTCTCTCGTATCCAGCTGTCAAATCCAATCGTCTGCAAATCCAGCGGCAGCCATAATCTGTAACTTTCAGTGGTTATCTAAAATCAATCTGGAGACCGTCCACATGTCTAGAGTCCACTGTGCCATTTTGTTTTCTCACACCCTGTACAGTACAGTACGTGCTCACTGAAGCATCAGACACAAAATTGATAGGTTTATTCTGACAGATTTTATGCAGGCTGTAAGAATCAGGATTGAGCTCAAGTCACACTAGCTGTGTGCGCTTCATGTTTGTGGCTTCAATTAGAATTGTAAATGAGCCACAGGGAGTGATGCACCTGACCTTTGTCACTATAAATAACCACATGACCTTTACTGTGAGCAGAACAAGGACAAGACTGGGAGCTTTTCAACTCATCACGGCAAGAAGAATCTCCGCTGTACAGGCTGACAAGCATGTCATCATCATCACTGATGGGAACACACCACAGGACTGCAGTCTGCAGTGTGTGAATTTATGTATAATTTGTGGCCAGCAGCGCCTCATTAGTTGCCCTCCTTCAAATGAGTAGCTGAAAATGAATATATTCAATCAATCAACAAGCATGAAATCACAAGCCCTCACATTTCCGTGTCAGATTGTTTGCACCACAGATATATGACCCACATAGCAATGCCCAGGACACCCAGCGCTGTACATCCCCACCGCCTTTTTCCCCTCACACTCAAACTTATATCTGGGGCTTAATTGCAAAAAAAAAAAAAAGAGCTGAGAAAGAGTTGAGAGGGTTGACCTATTTCAGCTCAGAAAACAAGTGTGACATACTGTAACTGCTTGATCTAAACTAAATTAGGATTTTATTGCGATACTATATACATACGGATGCAGCAAATTTTTTTAAATGAAAGTCAAGTGAAGACTATATGTGGTTTACAAACACAGGTAAAGCCAGTAAAGCAAATTGTATATTATATAGAGAAGTTCCAGAGGTTCTGTGACAGATTTTTATTAACATAAAGAAAATAATATACTGTAGGTAGGCTGCTTATGTGTACAGTTCAAAGGTCTTCAAAACAATCCTTCTGTGTGGAGCTTTCACACCTTTATACACTCTCAGTATAATGCAGTGCAGTTCAACAGCATTACAGACTCCACAATGATCATAGAACACCTCTCTAAAACAGTTTGGACAAAAAGTGAACAGCAGCACCTTTAAGAACAGAGAACATACTTCAGGCCTGTTGGATTAGAATGAATTCATTCTAGCTGTGTTCCTAATAAAATGCCAACTGAGTTTAGGACAACTGGCACAAAACTAACTTAAAGTTGCTGGAACCTATGTGACAAACGGTAGCTCATATTCAGAGCAACAGGAAAAAAAAACCCCACTGACATCAGCATCACAAAGCTTTCACTGAGCATGAACAACAGAAGCTGAGCTGACATTCTGCATCACATCTCTGAGGACCGCAAGCCTTTCATCTCCTCACTGTGCAGCTGTGAGCAGGAGAAGGAATATCAATGGAAATATTTACATATTTACAGTACAAAGACTGAATAGAACTCAGCACATTAAAGTCTCAAATTCTCTATATACACTGAACAAAGCAGCCACTTTTGTTCAACTTTCAAAAAGAGGCGAGTGATGATATAAAACGCTTGCTTCTGCTGTAAGGAAGCGGTCGTCGGAACACTTAGCAAAATGGTGAAAAAGCTGCTTCTCAATCAAAATTATCTGCATGAATTTGCATGAGCAGCACAGTCACATCCTGGATCCTCTGTCCAGAGGCTCTGCAGACACATCTCACAAATCTAACAGCATGTCAAAACAACGTGCATCATTGCCAGAGGGAGCCAGTGTCTCAGCTCTCCTCCTCTGACACATTTTATTCATTTATTTATTTATTTTTGTGCTGACTGATATGCTGGTCACTTACAGAGATCTCTTGTCAGAATATGAACCAGTTAAATGCCTCGCAATATTCTTCTCATCAAGAGATGTTAAGTAAGGGGTTTTTAAGAAGTAATAAGACAGTTGGATTTTATTTACAATCAACAGCTGGTTTCAATTGTACTGTATACAGCAATACCCTTGTCGTGCCTTCAGTACTGGAAAACAAAACTGGTGCACTGTTCCAGTCAGTGGCCGCTTTAACCAAACACCCATGATTCTTACATTAAATGACTCAATGACCAAAAACACAGTTAACTCCGGGGCTCTCAGACCTGTGTCAGCCACACTGCCTGTATTATTTATTTACAATTTAGTTTTATCCTTTTTTTAATTCCCTCCTTTACCTTATTTATATACTGAACACACCCACACACCACCTGTGCACTCATTATACTTGCATGCCTGTGTTCCATCTATGCAGCCATTGTTTGTCTTCCATGCACTGCTTTGAATGTTTGTACGTTTTGCATTGTAATAAAAAAAATTGGTTTGATGAAACATTACTTAACTTTGTATTCAGAATAATTAAAAATATGTCTCATAAAAGAGGATAAATGAATGCTCAGTCAATCCAAACCCTGTCCCTCAGGTCTGCTACCATTACTTGCGGGTATTGGCACAGACCGGCAGTGTGAATCTCAAAGCAGACAATTAGTCGTGGTTTTCCTGCATTCAGAGCTCTGTTTATGTTAATATGAACAGCAGAAGATCTTTCTAAACAGTACAGCAGTACAGGTGGAAGGACGTAGGGGATGATAAGGAGAGAAGGAGATCAAAGACGAGGTTGATTCCCCTGGACTGTGGTCTGTTACTGCTGATAAGGTGGATGGGAACAAGATGCAGACCTCAGAGCACATGCACACACATCCTCTGTCAGACACAATCTACACACATCACTAATTTGGCAGAATGAAACCTTGCATGAAGCTGGAAAGGTTTGCTTTCACTGACACAGAGATACAGCAGCAGTTGCCTCCAGCAGCCCCCTCCTCTTCCTCCTTTTCTTGGTTTCTGACTGAATTGATCAAACATGAGACTCAACAACTCTGAGCAGAACACTGCTTGGTTTAATCCTGCAAAAGGATTCCAATGGGCAGAGGGGAAAGCGACATGGATAGAGGATATCAGTTTCATCAGGTATCAGTTAAAGCCACCTCAGCTTGCAGGATTACTGTTGTTGAACCATTAAAGCAAAAGGAAAACAAAAACCAAGAGTATTCATTTAATTTAGGAACCAATTAATAAACTTGTTATTATGCATCACTTCATATTACCCATGCATGCTTACAAAGTCCATATGTACCTTGTTGAGGTAACTGTATGAATATCAGAAGTTAGACTGTATGGAATTTAATATTTTTCATGATATTTCCAATTCCTTGCATGAAGCCAGTAGTTTACATGAAACCTATAACAATGCACATAAGTGTTTTATTTACACTAAATGCTTGACACAGTCACAATTTAAAAATGTTTGCATTGAATGGGAATCTAGACGACGCCTGGAAAAGTACAAACGTACTGCTACCGCAGTGCTCATCTCATATCTCCACTACTTTGCAGGTTTCTCTATAAATTCTGATATTAAGTCAGTCTTTTTCACTTAGATTCTTACAGAAAATTCATTCTGCGAGGAACATGAATGTGTTCACTGCAATCGATTCCGTGGCATTTCACTAAAAATCAACCAACCAAGAGTACAAGTACTGTACAGACTTTTCTGCCAGTTCATGCCACTAGTGTGGCCAAAAAAAAAAAGAAAAAAGAAAATTCATTTACCTGTATATGGAGACATTCTCTATGAGGTCTGTCGTCTCTGTGTCTGTGATGATGATGCCCTTTGGCGAGACTGTCAGTGTTACTTTCCTAAACTTCTTGGTGCTGGCTCTCGCCTGTGGATATGAAACAAACACTCATTAAAAATAAAAAAACAAACTTTAATCTTGCCTCAGTTATAAAAGGGTGCCAGCCTGTCACTGACACTAATGGAAGATGATTTCACTACTGATTAAACTTCTAAAAACCCTCAAATGCGAAATAACTGCCAAGCATGTGCGAGCCCAGACAGGGGAAATTTATAAAAACTGACAGAACAGGGAGAGGGAAGCAGCGATGTGTAGCCCAAAATGAGTACTCGAGGTCGCGCTAGCAACCACTGACTGCTCCTGGCTGCCTGCTCCATCTGGAGTTTCAGAGGCCAGAGTGCTGAGCTTGTGATCTGTGTGAGTGCCTGTTGACAATGGCAGTGACCTTCTTTCCATGCAACAAATGAACAGCAGGTTTGTTTCAAGCCCAAATGTTAAGGTCAAGAATAGGCAGAGTGGCTGTAAAATAAAAAACCAGGACTTCTCAGTGACAACAGCAAATGTGCCCTGGAGATGATGGCAACAAACAACAATCTGCTCAAGCCCACAGCCCTCAAAGTATGGGAAACTGACACTGTCATAATGGAAAGGGCGCTGTGCCTGACTGGTAGCTAGTTCATGTAGGAAGCGCCGATGACCACAAGGCAAAAATCTGTCTGCTTCAGGCACCTAGCCAAAAACCCATAGACTTCAGTGTGAGAGCAGCGGAAGTACAAACATGCTCAGTGTGAGAGCAGCGGAAGTACAAACAAGTAGAAGTACAAGCTGTATGTACTGTTGACATGATGCAGCAATTTATCAGCTTCCATCCTGACAAAATACTGTCTTGGATCATTGAGACAAAACAGATAAAATCTAAATTTAACAAGCATTCCCTGTTTTCAGACAACATGCACTGTAGTTTGAGGCTATAATTTCACAAATCCACATGAGAATTTCTATAAAAAGCATCACTGTAATTGAAATCTTCACAATGTCACTCTAGTATAGTGTGCAAGATTTGTCAAGCAGTGGTCATCAAATGTTATGGTAAAACAGTATGCATTATAAAGTAGTTTGAGTCAAGACTCACTGTGGCAACAATTCTGCGAATGGCAGCTGAAGCCATGTCCTCGCCTTTAGGCTGGCCCACTAGTGTCATACCCAGGTACTTCAAGTTGAACACCATCCCCTCCAGCAGGGTCTCCTTGGTGTCCGTCCAATTCTCTGCCAGCTCTGATGGGACATAAAAGACATTGTTAGAAATCACTGAAATGCTTTGATCTGTTTAACACAGGGGTCGGCAACCCGAGGCTCCGGAGCCGCATGTGGCTCTTCAGCCTCCTTGTTGTGGCTCCCTTCGGGGAGACGTGCTGAAACGCTTCGCTGCTTGTCTGGAACACGGGAAAACCTTGGAAAGCAAAGGCCTCAGCTATTCCGAACTGGGAGACCTCGATTGGCTGGAAAAGTTTTATTTCATGGTGGATATGACAAGTCACTTAAGCACGCTGAATAAAAATCTCCAGGCAGTTGCTGGAGGATGTTCTGGCGTTTGTGCGCAAGATGACAGTGTTTGCCAGAGATGTACAGAAAGGTACGCTCTCTCACTTCCCCTCCCTGAGAGAGTTCAATGAAGAGAACAATCACATAAATTGTGATTATTTACACCTTGCAATTATGGCAATGCAAGCTGCATTTGGAGAAAGATTCAGGGAGTTCAGAAAGGAACAAAAAAACACTCTGTCCTTCCCTGTCACACCGTGGACATCAACCCATCCCTGCCGAACATATTCGCATTCACAGAGATAAGTCAGCCCGATCTTGAAATTGAACTGGCTGACATAGCGGATAAAGACTTATGGGTATCCAAGTTCAAAAGCCTGACAGCGGATCTCAAAGAAGTC